ACACTATGGTCAAACCTCTGACTGCGTTCGTGGGACTGTCATTTTTTTCTGGGGCAAGGGCAATGGTTTGGACTGACTGAGGTTGAGAGGCAGGACGACTTGGGAGTTTCCGGTAACGGGTTTGTGTGACAACAAGACGGATTGTCGGGGGAATTGTATCATAGTTTTTGGCGGGGAAATAATGGGATCATCACAAACGACCATTTGCATAAGGTAGAGAAATGTATAATAGGGGCATAATGCGAAGGATATTGGGAGCATTCTGGGGAAAGGGGAGCTGCCTATCGGACTGGGGGAATGGGTGTGTAAGGGGCTTTGCGGGTGTTGTTTTGTTGTACAGGACCGAGAACACAAACAAGAAAAAGTAAAAATGGAATTCAGCAACGAGAATGACAGTGGGGCTGTCAACAGGCCTACCGAAGGAGGAGGGACGAGACCAAGCCAAGAGCCAAGGACTGCCAAAAGAAAGTTGTATATAGGGGACTTGTCCAGGCGCGTGCTAGGAAGGAGAGGGAGAAAGTGCTTATGTAGAAGACCCTCGCCCCTCCGGGAGGGAGAAGGTGTAGGGATCTCATCTGAGAGTGAGGGCGAGAAGGAAAGGGCAAATGTGGGAGAAGGGGGCAATGCGAATATGGGAGATAAGGCCCAGGCTCTTAACGATAATGGAGCCAATAGGGGCGAACCACGTGAGTCTTGGCATGGGGAAAGCGAGGGGAGACAGGACATGCGCAATGAGCATGAGGAAGGTGAGGAGAGAAGGGAAAGCCTGCTTGAAGGACGAAGCGGCCACGGCAGCTGTGAGGGGTATGAGACAGGGACAGAGGTTCCTTATACTTACGATCCAAAGAACCTAACGGGTGGGTATAGCCCCATACAGACGGAAGACAAGGAGGACGAGGAGGAGGATGTACAAGAGATCATGGAAATCAGTAGCGGGGATGAGAGGGATGGAATCTCGAGGCCTAGGGAAGAGAGGCGGCCTCCGATGCACCAGCCGCGCGATGAGGTCTTCAGGTGGGAGGATGAGTTTGGACCAACGCTCAGTCATTAGTTCCAGCAATGGACCAATGTGATCAAGCATGCGTGGATTATCAAGACCCGAGAACTCGCAAGGGCAGGGGTGAAAGCCACGCCGTTGGAATTTTTTAGTGAAGCGGAACTGCAGGAAATTGCAAGGAAGAGGAGAGAAATCGAGATCTTCGGTTTGGGGGTTAGAAAGCCTACCAAGGAACAGGGTCGGCAAGGAATCGAGCAAGTTGAGGTACAAGGCAGCAATAGGAATTAGATGTTGATTAAGCATTGAACAAGATTCTGGTTTTTCTTTCTTTTGTAAGACATGGGAACGACAAGAGCGTGTATAGTATGAGTAAGCCTGCTAAGGATGAGTGATGAGAGAGCCAGCTAAGACTACGTCATGATAAGTTAGAAGATAGCTTCTGAGGCTACTTTCTGGATGAGCTACCTTCGAAAATGGGTACATAAGACAATGACATGGGGTATGGGATGAGACCAATTGGGAAGGGTGTATTGTGAATTTGGATGGAATGAGGATTGTGCTTCGAGAAGAGAAACCTTGAGTACAGATTGACGAGCGAGCCATGGCATTGAATGTTGGTCGAGTACAAGAGAGGTTAGGGAACCTATGGGTTAAGGGGCGTGAAAAACACTCCTTCCCTAGGAGCCTAATCCAACTGAGTCATGAATGAGTCTGAGAATAGTCGAGATCTGAGTCATCGGAACGAGTGAAAATAAGAGGGGGCGCCCCTGTCTCTTGCTATGGTTGAACGACCGGGTGGGTTAGTGCTGCTTGGGATCGCGAGTCCCAACTCGAGTACTAGACGCTAAATCATATGTATGCATGAATGGTACATTGCTTTGAGGAATGGATGAAAGGAAACCGCATGCATAAAACTGAAAAAGAGATGGCCACCTTCTAACCTCCGAGACAAAAATGAGATCCGTATCCTCGAGGCCCACCCCCTCGGGCGCTAACATTGAGAATGAAAAGGAATGACCCTAACGAGACTGTTCGACTTGAGAATGAAAAGGAATGACCCTAACCAGGCTGTTCGACTTGAGAATGGAAAGGAATAACCCTAACCAGGCTGTTCGACTTGAGAATGGAAAGGAATGACCCTAACCAGGCTATTCGACTTGAGAATGGAAAGGAATGACCCTAACCAGGCTATTCGACTTGAGAATGGAAAGGAATGACCCTAACCAGGCTGTTCGATTTGAGAATGGAAAAGAACGACCCTAACCACGTTGCTCGGAAATGGCCCCTAACCAGGGTCATTTCTTTTGAAATAGACACTGGGGTCCCCTGCATAATTGATTGAGAAAGGTTGATTGAGAAAGGTCGATCGAGAATGAGATGGAATGAGCAATGAGAGATGGAAAAGGCCCTAGGTCGGTCATTGAAATAGCCATGAGGATGGATAAAAGAGATTGGTGTGTTGAGAAGAGAAGGGCAGGATAAAGAAGGTTGAGCCTTAAGTCGAGAAGGGCATGGACCATTGGGACGGTCATAAGGATTGGATATTGAATGAGAAAGCTGAGGATTGGAGATGGGCTGAAGGGTCGGTCTTGAGAAATGACTATTGAAAGAATAACTGCCAAATCAGTCATGTAGGTGGCCTTGTTGATGAGAGGCTGCCGGACCAGCCTTGGAAATAGCATTGGATTGAGTGTTTGAGAATTTGATATTGCATTGCATAGTCAGGGGACCCTAGGCAACTTGATGTAAGGTCGTCGGACCGACCATGAAAATAGCAAGACATTGAGTTTTCCTTTTTCTAGTCTCGGGCCTCAGCAAGAGGGGGATACCGGTGCTCGCACTGCGACCTCAGGACCTCTGCCCTTTAAAAGGGAAAGTCTCAGCGCGACCTGTTCCTCATAAAGAAGGATAAGGTTTAAAGGACCAAGGCATCTTCTTTTTGATTAGTGCGAGCCGTCCGGAACTAACTCCGACAAAGAGCTCTAGTCGGGGAGTTCAAACCGCGCCTCATGTTGAGAACCTAAACGTCAAGGGCGTGGAGCCAAATGGGCGAGAGAGCCATTCTTTTTCCTAAGTTTCATTTTTTTCTCCCCAACCACACGCCATGCCGTAGAGGGGCAGCACGACCGTTTAGAATGGACCACGACTGCTCGCATTAAGTTGAGCAGCACTGTCCAGAGGGAGGAATCGGGTGTGGTACAGGGTGGAAGTCGCAACCACCACAGGGCGAGTGACACCGCCCTGCCGGATCATTACAACCGTTCCGGGACTAACCGCGAGGTCTTCGTAACTGCACTTGCGAACTAATAGAAAGCCCCAACTCTTTTGAAAGGAAGAGGCCGGATCCAAGAAAACACCACTCGGGAGGAACGATTCGTGAGAAAGCCCTTACGGCAAGATGTGATCCTGGGAGGTTTCGGACTGGACCTACCTGCCAGATGTGAGGAGGTACCTCAGTGATGACGCCCGTCTCGTAAGCGGCAAAAGGTCAGGCGGAGTAGGGGATGAGGTGAGTTATCAGCAGGGGGAGGATTGATCACCCTTCCTTTTTGGGGCTGATGGGCCGGCATCCATCTACTCGTTGGTGGGCCAAGGTCTGCGTACCTCCGAGTGAGAACTAGGCGTGCGATGGGCTATGTTACCGCGCGTTCCACATTCAGTTTTTGAACGCTGTGAACGCGCGTTCACTGAAACGTCCCTAAACGCATTTAACGTGTTTGCGCAGGGGTCTGTCGGGGCTTGGGGGGTGCCTCTAAGGCCCACGTTTCGTCGCGGGTCGATATATAGCGGGGGGAGCGTTCGCACGCGACATAGTCGTGCAGTGCGCGTCAAGCGTTCCCCACGTTCATTGGGAGAAGTGCTGCACACGCACTTTGAACGAGTGAACGCATGCACGCGCGCGCGCGCGCGCGCGAGAGAGAGAGAGAGAGAGAGAGAGAGAGAGAGAGAGACTGCGACATAGCGCGTGCGCGCGTGCGCGCGCGCGCGCAAGAGAGAGAGAGAGAGAGAGAGAGAGAGAGAGAGAGAGAGAGAGAGAGAGAGAGAGAGAGAGA